GGTCAGTTTTCCCATAGAAATAGTGAGTTTTCCCATTAAAAATAAGGTGGATCTTTGTTCGTTATGCAAACGTTTACTAGAGGGTAATTCATGTAGGAAGCTGAGTGGAAGATGTTGCAGAATCTGTTCAACCAAGGGTGTTTTTTTCTGACTTGTACTGACTGCTTTGACAAGGGTTGTGATTGTTATTCTTATTGTTACTGTGATTATCATTATCATATGAATAACGATCATAGAGAAATCATTAATTCATAACAGTTATTCATTATTTTTACTGTGATTATCATTATCTAACAATAAGACAATCATTATTCTTATGAATTATATAGTATCATTATCAGTATTATTCTGGACATCATTCTTATGAATTCATCATTATGATTCAGTAACTGGATGTCACTGGATGTAACCCAGCTGTATCTCGCCCTAAAATCCTGGGGGGACAGGTGGTCCTTGTTCCATTGGGACAGCCAGGCACCTGAGGCATCAGCAGTTCATTGGCCCATCAAACACTTAGGGTATTTGATCAGGGGCTTTAACTGCCCAAGGAGACATAAAGATCATAAAGGCTGATCTACTTATCTACTTTAGAGTTGGGCGAAAAAATAATGACGTAACGTCACGTATGACGTCACATGACGGACATCACAAAAAAGAGGCCGGATGGTTTGCATCTCCACTAAGTGCCCCCCCCAAAAAAAACATTAAAACATGGTGGGGGTTGTAGCCTTAAGCTGAAATCACCAGGGTTAACACATGGTTAAAACATGGTTAAAACATGGTTAAAACATGGTTAAAACATGGTTAAAACCATTAAAAATCCTTAAGCATGGGTTAAAACCATGGTTAAAACCATTTAAAACCATGGTTGAAACCATGGTGAAAAGCATTGAAAACATCACCCCACCCGCACCCAGATGACTCTCCAAGACCAGTGGTAACCTCCTTTCCAGGCCGATGACGATGATTCGCAAAGGCGATGAATTTCGTTGCGATGTCAGATGTTCAGAACGGTTGGAAGGATGCGAATAGCCTCCTAAACTGATTGGTGGTTTGGAACATGACTGGATTATGATTTTCCATTCAGTTGGGAATGGAATGTCATCATCCCAACTGACGAACTCCATCATTTTTCAGAGGGGTAGGTATACCACCAACCAGTAAAAGTTGGTAGTTTTTTGTTACCCTCTGGTTATTTAACATAGCCATGGAAAATAACATGGTGATTTACAAAATGGCTATGTTAAATAACCAGATGGTATATATTTTTCCTGGGTATTGAGCCATCCTTCCATTTGCTTTTGTTTGGTGTGAACCAAGCATTTTTTTGAGGCAAGTTTGACCCCATGATCAACATGTAAAAGTCGCGCACCAATCACAAGAACATTGTGAAGAGTTCTGATGGGATGACAACACCATTTTTTAAAAACTGCCAGCCTTCGGCATTTTCCACGGGAAAACCGATAATTCATTCCTGGCCTGTCTCAACAGCTGGGTATATGAGTATTGATTTATCATATCATATATTGATTTTTTAGATTTTATTAGTAAATTCATGTAAATTCATTGTGTTTCAAGCGCTGAAATAGTTCTCATTCCATGTTGTTTTCTGTCTTGATATCATCCCAACCTCTGGGTCAACACGCAATACGTCAACTTGATACAAACCATTACAGTACATTTTCCCCCTTGCCTAGAGTTACACCAATGTTGGTCTCCGTCTCCACTTTGTTATGAAGCAAATCGGGGCACTGCAGGCTTGGGGAGGACGACGGTGGCGATGGTGCTTCAAGAGTGGAACTGCAAGACATGTCGAGCCCCAGTGTGAACGCCGTCGATCAGCAAAAACTGGACGAATTCCTGCAATTGAAGTATCAGAATTTGATGGATGAGCTTCAGGTGCTGCTCATGGCAGACGAGGCATCCTTGGAAGTTGTCGAGGAAGCTGCCCGAGATATCATGGCCTCTTATCCACAGCCTCCCACGCACATCAGTGAAGAAGAACATTTGCGTGAACTGCAAGGATTAGTGCTGGAGTTTGGGGATTGGAAGTTGTGTGATTCCCGGGACAGACAGCACATGTTGATCTCAAGGTTTAGAGCTCTGCTTCTGAATTTGGGATGCAACGAAAAGACGTGCAAGGAAGTTTCGTTGCCTTATTTGGAGAATGAGCTGGAGAATCTGGAATCGCGTGGTCATTCAGTCCGATTTGTTTCGAACTTGAGGTGCATTCTTCGGGATTTGAAAGCTTGGAGATTGCTCTGTGAAGGCAGACTCAGCACAGAAATGGATGATGATACTTTTTGGCGCAAAATGAGTTTTGAACCTCTGTCTCCAAGCGATGAAGACTCGGATTCTGAAGATCCGACACCGTGCCGCAATGCTCCACATTGCGAGGACTTCGATGAGAAGTATCCTCTGGGACTTGTTACCGGAAGGAAAAGAAAGAAGAAGATCACCGAGGACAAGCGAATTGAATACAAATTTCTTTTTGCTGCCGAGGCTCATTGTTTGAAGTGCTTGAAGTATTATGCGGCGCAGCCTGGCTTTGATGTCAATTGTGAGTCGTGCGGGAAAAATGCTCGTGATTGGGCAGAATCGAATACGACTTACAACATTCCCAGGGAACTAGACGCGTGGCTCCGTGACAAGAACCTGTAGAAGTGTTGCTGATTGTTTTGGAGCCCGTTGAAGGTGACATAGTAGGAATTGTCCGTGGTGTCACCTGAAGCTGCAGCCATGCGATTCTTTTTGACATCGATCGCTGATGTGAGAAAAAGATGGCAGCTTTGTAGAGCGGCTTCATGGTACCGAGTAAAGTAACGTAACGTATATCATTTGAAGCATCAGGGTACTGAGCGTTGTTTCCGAATTACATGGAAATTTCCCTAATAAAATGACACAGCACATGTCATTCAGATGATCATGGTACCGAGCTTTTTTGATGTAGTTTCGTTGGCATGTCCTGAGTAAAGTAGTGTCACGTGAGTCATTTACGGCATCATGGTACCGAACTTTCGTTGTTTATTAGCTCGTGAAAAGTTCGTTCATCAAATTATAGAAATGTTTGTCATTCACGGCATCATAGTAGGGTTGAGTCTCGAGCTTGCAGGTCTTCGCGACAATGGTGCTTTGCTATGTCAAACTGAAGAGTCATGTGCTCAGTTTCGAAGTTGAAGAGCTGATACTTTGCGGTCGACTGCGCACATTCATATGTGGAGTCCATGTTTACCTCTTTACTACAGGCAAATTGCACGTTCCTGGGCTCAAATCTGTCGGGCGGTGTGAACATAAAGATTTGTCGTGATGATGTAGCAGACCAAAACATATTTGAGGAGGTTTGATTATTGTGAGCGGGTTCTTGAGTCGTCGTTCGGTTCGAAGTGTCTTCAAATATGTAGTCATTGAAAAATTGAGACATATCGCTTCTTCTTCCAATTGTGCGGCCATGTTGGTGGAAGCACTTCGCTCTTATAGGCTCATGGAGGCCGAGAGCGAAAAGCACACGTGCGGCTGGTGTTTTGGTCCCTAGAAATCCAGCTGTGATTTTGGCGCTGGAAGATGTCATGAGACCTGCTGGTTGTGGCGCTTTCAAAGATGTTTTCTTTGATCAAAAAGGAAACACTTTCTTTGATCAAAAAGGGCCGTTCTTGTCGGCTGCCAATGCGGTTGCGTCCATCACCGTGCAAGAGACATGGACGCAACCGCATTGGCGGTGCGTGACACACTGTTGCTTGGAAAACAGTAACCGCAACTTCTCCAGCTCGGACTTCGATGAGCAGTATCTTCTAGGAAAGGTTACAGGAAGAAAAGGAAAAAAGACGATCACCGAGAACAAGCGGATGGGATACCAAATTTCTTTTTGCCGCCCAGGCTCATTGTTTGAAGTGCTTGAAGTATTATGCGGCGCAGCCTGACTTTGACGACTTACAACATTCCCAGGGAACTAGACGTGTGGCTCCGTGACAAGAACCATGTAGAAGTGTTGCTGATTGTTTTGGAGCCCGTTGAAGGTGACATAGTAGGAATTGTCCGTGGCGTCACCTGAAGCTGCAGCCATGCGATTCTTTTTGACATCGATCGCTGATGTAAGAAAAAGATGGCAGCTTTGTAGAGCGGCATCATGGTACCGAGTAAAGTAATGTAACGTATATCATTTGAAGCATCTGGGTACCGAGCGTTTTTCCCGAATTACATGGAAATGTCCTCAATAAATTGACACAGCACCTGTCATTCAGATGATCATGGTACGGAGCTTTTTCGATGTAGTTTCGTTGGCATGTCCTGAGTAAAGTAGTGTCACGTGAGTCATTTACGGCATCATGGTACCGAACTTTCGTTGTTTATTAGCTCGTGAAAAGTTCGTTCATCAAATTATAGCAATGTGTGTCATTCACAGCATCATAGTAGGGTTGAGTCTCGAGCTTGCAGGTCTTCGCGACAATGGTGCTTTGCTATGCCAAACTCATGTACTCAGTTTCGAAGTTGAAGTTTTGCTATGTCAAACTCAGGAGTCATGTGCTCAGTTTCGAAGTGTTTGTGCATTTCATGTAATTATAATGTTTAGAGTTCGCTCTGCAATTTGTCAGGGTGAGAAGCAGCGGTTGAGTCTTGAGCTTGCAGGTCGTTCTCCAGAGGATGGTGCTTTGTTATCGCAAGCTCAGGAGTCACGATCCCAGTCTCGAGCTTCAGCGCATATACTTTGCGTTCCTTCATGGGAATTCATTGTTTCATGTCCAGACCATGTTGACCTCTTTGCTACATACATGTGAATTAAACATTCCTGGGCTCAGATGTGAGCAAATGGACAAGACAAGAGTCACGCATCGGGAAACAATGTACCATGATGCCGTTTGAAGGTGTAGGCATGCGGGACAAGACGCCCTCAAAGGCTGTTGCATTTCTTGAGATCTCGAGATTTGAAACTGCCGGATGGTGTTCTCAAACATGTAGTCATTGAAAAATTGAGACATATCACTTATCTTTCCAATTGTGCGGCCATGTCGGTGGAAGCACTTCGCTCGTATAGGCTCATGGAGGCCGAGATCACGGATCTCGAGATAACATGGAGAAAGCCTTCCAAAAGAGCTCCGTCCCAAGCTTTGATCCTCAAAGCATACGTGCGGCGGGTGTTTAGGTCCCTAGAAGATCCAGCTGTGACTCGGACGTTGCGAGATGTCATGAAACCTGCTGGCTGTGGCGCCTTCAAAGATGTTTTCGTTTTGGACGGCCATCTCCTGGTGGTGAAGATGATGTTGAGGGATCGCAGTCTTGGCACGTGGATGCAGAATTTGACAAGTACCATGACATCCTTTCGAACCGGATGGGTTTTTGTTATGGCCAGGTGTATCTTCAAAATAGCCGTCCAGCTGGCCAGGATGGTATTTTGTTCCAAGGAAACAGTTTGTGTAGTCAAAAAGTGCCGCGCTTGTCGGCTGCCGATGCGATCGCGTCCATCGAGCAAGAAAAGTTGATGGCGGTCGGGCTGGAGAAGCTTCGATTACTAGTTTCCAAGCAGCAGTGTGACGCCGAGACGTGGTCCGAAGCCTGCAGGAGTACATGAGCATGTTGGAAGTGTTGTTCGAGTTCATGAGAGAAGGCATTTTTCCGTGGGACGCAAAGCTGGACAACTTGGGCATCGCGCAGAGGGGCGTGTTCGGCAAGTGGGTGATGCACGATCTGGATGGTTTGCGTGCCGTGGGCGAGGAAGACAAATACAAGAATTTGGGAAGAGGGATGAGAATGATTTTACAGAACATTGTCTCGCAGGATCAGGGATTTGTTGACGGACTGCGGGCAAATGGTTTGATGCGGGATCCTTGGCATGAGCAATTCCGGAAATTGCTCAACCTGGTCTCCACCCACCTCGCGCATAGTCAATTGGGCAATCAGTATTCAGATCGGAACCGGTTGCTTGCATATACATATATATATATAATTATATATATATAAGTTTTTCATGTTTTAATTCTATTTTGTTACGCGTTTTTTACTTTTTCAAATCAAGAACAAACAATATCAAAGTGAGCGAGGTTTCGACCGGGAGAGCCGACAGAATGGACGAAATTTCAAGAGGCTGTGTCAGCTATGGCCCGTGATCTTCCAGCAGTCCGTAAGAGCAATTTTCCATACCCTTGGCACGAGGACAAACTTCCACGAACACAGGCTGCCGGTGCTTCTTCAAGCTCTTCTTTTCATCCCGGCGTCGCTCGATCTCCGGAGGTTGTTGTGGACGAAGTTCCACCTCCGAGGGAGAGTGACAGGTGGGGTGACACCATTTGTGCTGAACTTCTGCGGGAATCGCCGGCTGCTTTTTTACGAAGAACCCTTCGCAGGCCAAAAAGAACATGTTGTGTTATTGTTTAGTGTCATGTCTGGTGGAGGCACCACAAAAACAGACAAACATGAATACTGTACGCTGAATTAATGGACTAGTCCTTCAATGGCTCCATAGGCTTGAAATTTTACTAATGCCACAGTTTAGGCACGCTCTGGCAATGCTGGTAACGCACAGTTCTCCTTACTTGGGTATAAATTGCTAAAGAAATGGCTATAAGTGGGATAGTCAAGTATAATTAGAGTTGTAATATGTTGTACTAGCATATATGATTATTAAATGGGCCATAATTCATGATAATTTTAACGCATGGTGTTTCTTCTCGATGGGCCCGGCAGGACGGGTTGGGAGCGCAGCGGTGACGGCGGTGACGGCCCGGGCGAGCGCAAAGTGCCCAAGATCTCGGGCTCGGGGGCTCCAGCATGGGGGACGCTTGGTGCTTGGGGAAGCAACAAACATGGTGGGATGTTAAGGGGATATGTACCGAATAATGGTTGAAACCAGAGGGCAATTAATCATGATTTTCATGTTGAGAAATCACGATGAAAATCATGGGAGATTCATGGAATATTGATGGAATATGAATGGATTGAATGGATAAACGGTATGTACATAATATAGTATGTATAATAGAGATATAATGGAGTGCAATGGCATAATATCATAGAGATGTAATTGCGTTTAATATGTATCTGATAGAATGATATACCATCCATATCATCAAACGTGGCTGGCTGGAAAATCCACAAACATCTTCACAATTGGATGTTTATAGCTGGAAAAATAGTCGAACCAAATGGAAGGCAAACCATGTTTGATTACCAGAGGGTAACCATCAAAAATGGCGATGTCACCATGCCAATATGGGTGAATATGGGTGATTGAATTTGAACTTACCATCAAAAATGGTGGGTTCAAGCAACAATTACATTCCGGTAACCGAACATCGCAAGGGACTTCCATCATTTGGTGTTTTCCCATTGCATTGTTCGACCAGCGGAGGGGTTAAGTTGCCATGGGTCAAACCCCACGGAATCCCATTTTATTCACACCAACATTGCTGACACCAAACTTCCTGAGATTGATGGATGTGAATAACACATCAAAATATAGGTTTGTATTCGTCCCAAAGCTTGACATGAAGATCAACAACCAGATAAACT